TTACAGACATACAGACATACAGACATACAGACATACATACATGCATGCACGCATGCGTACATGTATGTATGGATGGATGGATGGATGGATGGATGGATGGATGGATGGATGGATGGATGGATGGATGGATGTATGTTTGCATGCATGGCGGAATGCATGTACGGATGTATGTATGTATATATGCATGCATGCCTGCATGCATGTGCGGATGTATGTATGTATGTATGTATGTATGTATGTATGTATGTATGTATGTATGTACATGCATGTGCAGAGTATGTCCATGTTCATTGGCTGCATACAGCACCCTGCATGCTCCTGGGCATGCTTATGTATGCTTGACTATATGCATGCTGCAAGTGACACGATTTGCCCGTCCATGGGCACCAACTGGCTTCTTTATCTGGGACCCGTTGTTCTTTCCGTTGCTTCTGCCATGCGCACCTATGCATCTCACGTCTATGATACGCCGCATAGACCACCTTGCTCGTTGCTACTGTCCTCTGGGATTCTACCGAATCCGGAACCGAGGGAGCCGCGTGCCGACAACGGACTCGAAACACAGGACGCTGGTTTCCTGACAGCTCTCCACTTCAGCAAGTCTCTGTATTGCGAGAGTCAGAGAAGTAATGTAAGGGCCTTCATAATTAGAATAGGGTTTTAGGATATATTATACAGTAGTTATAGTAAGAAACCCCAAAATAGTATAGGTAATTATGAAGGCCCCTATATTACGAAGATTCAAGCCCTTCCTCCAGGGAACTGCCAGAGCAGAACAGTGACATCACTGCAGCCGTGGGCAGCAGTGGCTGCACCTCCAGACACGAGAAGACGTGACTTCTCGTCTGACATCACCTCCCGGCCTCCGGAGAGAACATCTGACGCAAGGCCGGCAGCAGCAAGAAGCAACTTGCGAGGCAACATCCCAGGGCAGCACCTTAATTCCACACAAGCACGGCAACTTCAGCAGACCATGGGAGCGATAAACTGAAACCCAGGGACGGCAGGCATGGCTTGCTTGCGCGGATAGCATGGCTTGGCACGGCGGTCTACATTGCTCTCTGGCACTCTAACAGTCTAGGGTTTAGGGCTTAGGGTTTCGGGTGTCTTAGTCTGCACGGTGAGCACACCGGAAAGAGCCACCAGGGGTAGATGGCTAGAGTCATCACGATATCTGGGTGGAGGTCAGTGCATTCGAGGGTTGTTCACTACAATCACCAAAGTAAGTCCCGAAGCCGCAAGTACCTATCTCGCACAAACTGGCCGTTCCCGTAGAACCCAGGTCTCGTTGTCGCTAACCAGACTAAGTGTGCATAAGCCCATGTCTCATGGGAACTGAAATACTGCAGAGATTAGACTGGAAATCTTGCATGGTGCGACTTGGAGCATGTTTCCCAACTCCAAAATCGTAGCTGGAATCTCTGCACGTCCTTCGCGGGCAAAGGCTGATGCGGTAATATCATGGGATGTCTCAGCCTCGATGCTGTCAGCTGGGCAACTAGGTCTTGAGCTTAGACGTTTACTGTATGGTTTTGACGATCTGGATGCTCAAGGTGTGGATGCTGCTGTGTTTCCTTTCATCCCCCGCAGCAGTTGCTGATGCAACGTGGTCCTAGCCTCCTAGACTCGCGGACAGGACACTGTGGGCTCTTTGAACTCCACAGGAGCCCCGGACGGTCAGCCGGCTTGCCTTCCGGATATCTGCTACACTCAGGGCTCGGGCTATCGGGCCAGACAAGGAAAACCACACAACTCCCATGGAGAAAAGGGCTGCTGTTGTGGCAGTCGCCGTCGTGGTCGTCCTCGTCATCACTGTTGGCAGCGGCGGCGCACTAGGAGGATGAAACAAACTTAAACAAACGAAGGAATCGAAGGATTAGCACCGATGCTGCTGGAACAAGCGCAAGAGCAACGCAACAAAAAACATCATTGACACCAATGGCCACAGCAACAGCTGCCGCAACCAATGTCAGGACATCCACGACGACGACGAACACGACAGCCGAAGGTACAACGGCAAGAAATGGCAGCAGCTACTGATAACAGAAGAATAATAGCAACAACGAGAGTATAAGCAAGAGTAAGAGGAAGAACAGCAGCAGCAATTTCGTCAGCAAAACCAGGGTCCTCCTCATGCTTGCGATGGCGGTCGTGGTGATTGTAGTGGTGGTCGTCGGTCGTCGTCGTGGCAGCGGCAGTACTGGCAGCAGTAGCAGCAGTAGCAGTA